AAAGTTAAATTTCTTACCAAGAAATCATTCTTGAGCATGTAGGTCTATCTTTGGTGTAGTAGCGTAGAGCCAGTTTGGTATAGAAGTTAAGTGCGCGGACTCTAATCTGGGAGAACCGGGTTTGATTCCCCACTCCTCCACTTGCACCTGCTGGATGACCTTGGGCAAGCCGTAGCTCTGATAACAGCTGTCCTTGAAAAAGAGCAGTTTATGTCAGAGCTCTCTCAGCCCCACCTGCCTCACAGGGTGTCTGTTGTGGGGAGGGGAAGGGAAAGGAGTTTGTAAGCCGCTCTGAGACACCTTTGGGTAGTGAAGGGCGGGGTATAAATCCAATCTCTTTTCTTATTCTTCTTGCTGGGTGCACACAGAGTGAGAACCCACAACCAACAGGTATGGTTGTCTTAAAAAACCCTGCAGCAAAATGAGACACAGGTATATTTGGGTGGGTTTTTTTGTATTTTTGCAGTTGTGTGTCCGTGTGTGTGCCCATGCCTGGAAGTCATGGTGACTCCTACTGGGGTACGGAGGAGATTTGGAGAAGAGGTCAGATAGCCTGCCTCTGGCCTCCTGGCCCTGTTATTTTCTGGAGGTTTCCCATCTAAATACTAGCCAGGGTCAGCCCTGCTTAGCTTCCAAGATCTGATGAGACCCAGCTTGCCTGGGCTATCCAGGGCAGGGCTGGTATGTTCTTTATACACCACAAAGTATACTTGTATTTTGTCACAGGTACACAAGCTGGGAGGGGATAAGGAATGGTATGGTACAGCCTGATTTAGTTAGATCTTGGAAGCTAAGCAGGGTGGGTACTTGGATGGGAGTCCACCAAGGAAAACTCTGCAGAGGAAGGCAACGGCAAACCACCTCTGATTCTCACTTGCCTTTAAAAACCCTTGCTGGAGTCTGATAGGCATGCCAGGCTCAAGGTGGGACTTTGTAATTCCCTAGAATTGCAGCTCCTCTCCAGACTACAGAGATCAGTTCCTCTGGAGAAAACGGACGCTTTGGAGGGTGGACTCTATGACATTGTACCCCACTAAGGTCTTTGCCCTTCCCAGGCTCCACTCCCAAACTTCCAAGAGTTTCCCAGCCTGGATCTGGCAACTCTACTGCCCCACCCCGTACCGATGGCTGGGGGTGGGGAGATCTGGCAACCCTATGAGTCACTATAAATTGGCTGCAACTTGATGGCACATTCACAGTACGTACCTACAGTTACAAGCTGGAAAGCCACCTACCAGTCATGGCTTAACATGATGTTTTGTTGTTCAGCCGCACAGTCGAGTCCGACTCTTCGCGACCCCATGGACCAGATCACGCCAGTATTTGAGCTTCAGCTTCAGGATCTGGCCTTCCAGGGAACAGTCAGGGTTGATTTCTTTTAGGATTGACTGATTTGATCTCCTTGAAGTCCAAGGGACTCTCAAGAGTCTTCTCCAGCACCATAGTTCAAAAGAATCTATTCTTCAGCGCTCGGCCTTCCTTATAGTCCAGCTTTCGCAGCCATACATTACTACTGGGAATACCATTGCTTTGACCATGCGGACTTTTGTTGGCAGGGTGATGTCTCTGCTTTTTATCATGCTGTTTAGGTTTGCCATCGCTTTCCTCCCAAGGAGCAGGCGTCTTTTAATTTCATGGCTGCAGTCCCCATCTGCAGTGATCTGGGATTCCAGGAACGTGATGTACACACACCTAGCAAAGCAGACTTGTGAAGAAGTAGAGATTGGATTTATACCCCACCCTTCACTACCCAAAGGTGTCTCAGAGCGGCTTACAAACTCCTTTCCCTTCCCCTCCCCACAACAGACACCCTGTGAGGTGGGGGGGGGCTGAGAGAGCTCTGACAGGAACTGCTCTTTTTCAAGAACAGCTCTTATCAGAACTACAGCTTGCCCAAGGTCATCCAGCCAGGTGCGAGTGGAGGAGTGGGGAATCAAATCCGGTTCTCCCAGGTTAGAGTCCGCGCACTTAGCCACTACACCAAACTGATGTGGCCACAGTGTAAGTTGAGGGCGATTTTCGGGGGGGGGGGGGGGCTGGCACCTACTTTGATAGCCTTTAAGCACCAGATAAAGGATTAATTTTACTTAGATATTTGATGGGGTCCTACGTTAACGAAATATATGTTGGTCTTCAATTTTGCTTTTCTCCAGCAGATCTCCAGCCACCACCTGGAGGTTGGCAACCCTACCTACACAGTCACCATAAATCAACTGTGACATGACAGCAATATAGTTTCAGTTAAAACCATAGATAGATAAGATGATAGATTAGATAGTAGATAGATGAAGGATGAATGGATGGATGAATAGATAAGATAGATGATGGGTGAATAGATACATATGTACGTACATACATACATAGATACAGGTGGGTACCGTTTTGGTTTGAAGCAGCAGAGCAAAGGTCGACTCCAGTAGCCCCTCTAAGACCAACAAAATTTTATTCAAGGTAACTTTGTTGGTCTTAAAAGGGGCCACTGGACTTACATTTTGTTCATCCATCCATTCATCCATCCAGTCAGCCATGTTGGTCTGAAGCAGTAGAACAGATTTAGTTAGAGTCCAGTGGACACCTTGAAGACCAACAAAGTTTTATTCAAGGTATGAACTTTTGTGTGCAGGCACACTTTTTCAAGCACACTGGAATGGAAGGTAAGGTTCAAACTTATAGACAGGGGCTGAACAGCAAACGTTTTAAAACATCTTCATCATGTTACATGTTAATATGCTGTTCAGCCCGTCTATAAGTCTGAACCGTACCTTCCATTCCAGTGATTTAAAAAAGTGTGCCATGCACACAAAACCTTGAATAAAACGTTGTTGGTCCTAAAGGTGCCTGACTGAACTCTAAATTTGTTCTATCTATCCATCCATCCATCCAGGGGTCATTTCATAGAAAAAGAGGTGCAGGAGCTCATTTGCATAACTGATTTGCATATGCCACACCCACTGGCAAAGGGCAGCTGCGGGGCACCTGAAGAATATCGGGCAGGGAACCCAGGCATGTTTAGAATGCCTTTTTCTGGGGAAGGGAAAGAAAGACATTTAAACCCCCCCCCCCAATTCCTCGAAAGCGGAAAGGCTCAGGGAAAAAGAGGGGCATGTCTGCCCAGCTCCCCTCCCCCTCCCCAGCCAACCCAAGGCAGCGGCTCCGGGGCACCTGGAGAAGATTGGGCATGGAACCCAGGCAAGTTTAGAATGCCTTTAGAATGCCAGATGGGGAAGGGAAGAGATTTAAATCCCCCCAGGTGGCAGGGGGGCTCTGCAGGCCTTCCCTGTCCCATCCGCCTGGGCGGGTGGGCCAGGAAAGGTGGGGGGAGCTGCCCCTGGCCTCCTTACTGCTGGAGCGCTGTTCCTGCGTGTTCCTGTAGGAAATGACCCCTGTATCTATCTATCCATCCATCCATCCATCCATCCATCATCTACCTACCTCCTACCTACCAATGTTCCCTGTAAGCGGTGGAGTCTTGTGAGCAAAAATCCTACTTTGCGAGCTTCTGGCATGAAGGTTGTGAGCTAGCGATTTGGCTGCTGCATAAATTCTCTTGCTCTGGAGCCCTCCTTCCTGAGATAAGACACAAATGTGTGAGCCGGAGGCTAAAAAAACCCTGTGAACTAGCTCACACTAACTCAGCTTGGAGGGAGCACTGCTACCTACTTATCATCACCTGTCTGTCTATCTGGTTCACCGAAATGCTTTTAACTGTTATATATCATATGCGTCTATAGATCCAAATGCTTTTATGGTTTTAACTAAAATGCTTCTGAACTCTTATTACGAGCCACCTTGAACCCCTAGTAAAGGTCGGATACAAACGTTTCAACAAAGAACGAAAGCATTAAATTAAAAACGGGCCACAGCCAATGTTCCCTCTAAGCTGTGGAGCCTTGTGAACAAAAGCTCTACTTTGTGAGCTCCTGGCATTAAAGCTTTGAGCGAGCGATTTGGCTCTTGCATGAATTAGTTTGCTCTGGAGCCATCCCTTCCTGAGCTGAGACAAAAATGGGTGAGCCAGAGGCTAAAAAACTGTGAGCTAGCTCACACTGACTCAGCTTAGAGGGAACACTGGCCACAGCGAGACTAACCGACTCCCTCGCGAAGCTGTTGCAGTTCCCCCCCATTTCCTTCTGTTTCCCAACATCCTGTCACTGGGACACGCGCTCCCTGTCAAGGGCCACGTCGTGTTTGCGCTTTCTGAAACAGGAGACGTTCCAGAGAGGGAGGGTGGCGGCGGTGAAAAAAGAAGGGGCCCCTTTCATGCCAATAAAGGCTGACTTGAACTTGACTTTATCCCTCTTTTTTACGCTCCGCTCCCAGCCACAAAGAGGGGGCCGGCCGGCTCAGCCCTTGCCCGGGCGGGCGGGCGCACGGAGCGGCTCTTCCCCTCAGCCCGGCGGAGGCGCGAGGAGGCGGCCGCGGCCTCCCTCACGTCAGGGGCGGGAGGAGACAGAGGGGGAAAACGAGGCGCCCCCCCCCCCCCCCCCCCGGGCCCCCCCCCCCAGCCAGCCTCGGACCCTACCTGGTACTTGTTGGTGGAGTTGAAGGGGATCTCCGTCACTTTGGGATTCCTTTCGCGCATCTTCTTGACAGACCCACAAGACAACTGGATGCATTTCAGGAGCGCGGATTCGGAGGCATCGCCAGCTGTGTCCCTCTGCGATGAGAGGGAGGGAGGGAGGGAGGGAGAGGAAGAACATGGGCACGGGGTGTCAGGAGAGGGAGTCTGGAGCAGCACACCATCCGAGGAGGAGGACCGGGGAAGGCGCCTGCCAGGGCAGCGTTCTGCAGGAGGCCAGGGTGGGAGTCTTGTCTGTCTTCTCCTCGTCCTTTTGCTTAGCTCGCGAGGGGGGGGGGCACAGACACTTGCAGCCCCTTCTGCACCAGGCCGCTGCAGCACTTCCCCAGGAGAGGGGAGGGGCCGGGCATGCGGGCCTGACTGCAGGGGTGTGTGTGCTCCTAGATGGCCTTGGGACCAGTGTTCCCTCTAAGCTCTCTGAGGGGAACGAAAGGAAAGAAAGCCGGGAAGCCTCCTCCGCCAGCGGCCTGGGCCTCAGGACCACCACCCCGGGGGACAGTGGCTGCCCACCCCCCTGAGGGAACCGAGGAGGGACGACTGGACCGCGGAGCCCCCCCCCCCCAAACTGTCTTTTCCTTCCGACCTCTGAGGGGGAAAACAAGCCATACATCTGCAGCCCCCTCCTTCAAAGTTCCCTCAGTGACAAAAGCCCCCCGATTTTAAAGGGGGCGGCCTTCCGTGACCGATTTATCCCCCTCCCCTTAAAAAAGGGGGCCCCCAGTCTTCAGGGGCGGGGGTAGAAAAGGGGGGGCGCCGCCTCCTGAGGGGAAACCGCCCCTTCCCCCTCCCCCAGCCGCTCTTCTCAGGGCGGGGGGGTCGCTGAAGAGAGAGGAAAGAGACAACTGATCGTTCCCCCCCCTCCTTAGTCCTCCCCCCGGTCCGGACTTCGCCGGCTGTCGCGCGTGGCGGCAGAGCGGGAGAGGCGGCGGAGGCGGCGTGGGGCTCCGTAGGGGCGGGCGAGGGAGGGCGAGGTGGCCGGCCGAGGCTCCGCGCTTGGTTCCTGCGGCGGCGGCGGCGAAGGAGGAAGAGGAAGAGCGAGAGAGCGACGAGGAGAAGGAGGCGCGCCAGGGAACCCAGTCGCCACCGCCGCCGCTTCCCGGCCTCCGCCATGGAGAACGCGCACACCAAGACCGTGGAGGAAGTCCTGGCTTATTTCAGCGTCAACGAGAGCACCGGCCTCAGCTTGGAGCAGGTCAAGAAGCTCCGCGAGCGGTGGGGAACCAACGGTAAGGCGGGAGCGGAGGACGCGGCTGCCTGGCTGCCTCTCTGTCTGTGTCTGTCTCTCTTAACCCCCTCCCCCCCTTCCAATCCTTCCCCTGGAAAAGGAAAGATGCTTTGGGGATTGTCTATCTCCCCCCCTCCCATTATTCTTCCTTCTTGTCTCCATTCTGGGCCTCTTTCAGGGCTTTCGGGCACTACGGACCCGGGGTGGGGTGGGGGGGACGCTCTCGCACACGCGGGGGGTGACAAAAAAACCCGGCATCTGTTTCAGGACCCGGAATAAAAGAAAGGGGGGGGGAGGGAGAGGAGAAGATGGCTGACTCGGAATCCACCTCGTGGGTTTCCTGCATGCCCCGGGCGGCTGGGGCCGTTCCAAACCTGCAAGCTGTCAGCTCGGCTTCCTTTTCACCTTTCAGTGATTCCCCCCCACACACACAGAGACGGGTTTTATAAGAAAAGGGGGTGACTTCTTGCTTTCTTTTCACCCCATCTCCTTTATGGTTTTGGTGTTTTTTTTTTGCTTCTCTCTGCTGCCTGTTTGACCTCTTGTTTCCTCCATGCTTTCCTTCCGGCTTGGCTCCCGGTCCCTGCCAGAGGTTGCTCTTTATTTTAAAAAAAGGTTTCCAAAGGATTCTTCCCCCCCCCCCCAAAAAAAAACCCACTGGGAAATTTTGTGCATTCGTGTATTAAAAATCTGTTTTCAAATAGGAAATCAGCACTGGGGGAGGGGGTTCCAGGAGCCATCTCAGAATAGCATCGTGGTCGCTACTATAGCTGTCTCAATTTTCTTTTTTCTTCCGGAAAATGATGGGGCAGGAATCCATGTTTGGAGGTGGGGGGGGGGAGGGTGGCGGAGCATTCAAGGCCTTTGACCCGGTGTGTGGGGAGCTGCATTAGAAGTTACAGTTGGCACCAGTGATGACTTGGCTGAATTTGTAACCTCACTAGCTTACTGCTGAAACACACTTAACCGCATGAGGCCTGAGCTGTCTATCTGCCTGCCTCATTGATAGAAGGCGCTGTAAGAGTGATGTAGCTTTTGCTGCATAAATGTTTCCAGTTGAGTGTTTTAGCGTAACAGAACATTGTGAACAAAATTGAGAAGCATTGGTGACGGGGATACTGTTAACTAATGAAATTTCCTGACTTTTTCTTTCTCTTTCCCCCCTCTTTCACATGCTTCTGGGAAAATCATTGCCTCTTAAAGAACTACCAGCTGAAGAAGGTAAGCAAGCTTATAATGCATTGGTTATATTTCTCTGCATGTTTTACAGTGTGTGTTTTACAGTTTGTGCCTACATTTTATCTTGGCAGGAAAAACTTTACTGGAGCTCGTGATCGAACAGTTTGAAGACTTATTAGTTAGAATTTTGTTGTTGGCAGCGTGTATATCTTTTGTAAGTATTCTATTATATCCTTGATGTATATGTATATATTGATGTATTGGGTTTGCCTGAATTTCTTAATTTGCTGTGTGTAAAATGTTGAGAAAATGAAACTGGGTGTTCAGTTTAAGACTGGGCATTTTAAATCTTAAAACAATAAATCAGATCCTAATCCTTAATGTGCTTCCTTATGAACAAATTTCATTTCTCTGGAACATCCCCATGAAAAGCTATGTTTAATGTGGAGTCCAAACTGTATATAAATTAAGCTGGATGAAAGAAATGGTTTTGGATGAATATTATCATCTTTGTCTGGGATATTTTTTACCTTGGCTTGAAGCAGATTTGCCCAGCATTGCCTTTTAACCTTGGCCCCAATAGGAAGGTGAACTGATATTTTTTTTTTTGCAGCTGATTGTTATGAAACTAACTGAGACTGAAAGTCTTTTTTTGGATGCAATGCAAACTGTAAATAGAATTTGCATGGGGAATATTCCAGTTGCCCTCCCTTGCTGATAATAGCAAGGTGACAGTTGTTGCTCTTGACAGTGACAAGAACGATGACAGCAGTGATGGCACCATTGTTGACCAAATTTGGTAACTGACCTTTGGGAAGCCTCTTGTAAAATAAACTCCTTGCCTTGCATGCAAAATCAGTGGGATGGGGCTGTGAAGCTGGGTCTCAATATATATGTATTTTACAAAGGGGGTAGGTTATTGTTGTCCAGTGCCTACTGTGTAATTGTGGGGGAACAGGAGGCATGTAGCAAAAAATCAAAAACACAGGCGGTCACTGTACATGTGCTTCTGACAAGGTAAATAGGGAGGACGGCGTAAGACAGGAAGGCCTGGCGTGATCTGGTCCATGGGGTCGCGAAGAGTCGGACTCGACTCTGCGACTAAACAACAAATAGGGAGAAATTGGGCAGATTTTCTTCAAAGAGAATTGGTTAAATTACTGAGGGCTAAGCATGTTGCACTAGATAGCACTATGCGTGACTGTGGGGAAAGCCAGGTCTCAATCCCTATTTGGCCCCGAAGCTCCTAATGCCCTTGGGCATAAGTCTGCTCGTTACCTGAGTCTGCTCACAGGGTTACTGTGAGGGTCACTGACACAAGTGCTGTATACCCTGAAAAAGTACCCGAGAAAAGGTTGGGTTCCACAGAGGCGGCCCTTATTGCATGTACTCTAGTACTTCCTTGCTTGTACTGGGGCTTTCTAGTTTTCCCATTCTGCTAAAAGGAGAGTCAGTTTGGTGTAGTGGTTAAGTGCGCGGACTCTAATCTGGGAGAACCGGGTTTGATTCCCCATTCCTCCACTTCCATCTGGCTGGATGACCTTGGGCAAGCCATAGTTCTGATAAGAGCTGTCCTTGAAAAAGAGCAGTTTCTGTCAGAGCTCTCTCAGCCCCGCCTACCTCACAGGGTGTCTGTTGTGGGGAGGGGAAGGGAAAGGAGCTTGTAAGCCGCTCTGAGACTTCCTTGGGTAGTGAAGGGTGAGGTATAAATCCAATTTCTTCTTCCCTACTATAGCCCCTTGTGTCTGGCTGCTCCTGAGAGGGCTGAAGGCATTTTGTTGTCCCAAGCACATCCTGGAGGCCAGTTACCAATCACCTCACCACCATACATGCATTTGAGAAGATGAGCCCCAGAGGTGCTCTTAGATCTGCTAGAGCTCATCCTCTTCCCAGAGGTGGTGGAAGTGGGGATTTGGGGAGGTCACGGGTTGTCGCTTCCCTTACCAGTATCACCAGAAGGAAGGTGAGCCTCCTAGAACTTGCTTTCCTCCCACTGTCAGGGAAGCTACTGGTGTCCAATCTCCTCCCAAGCCCATATCACATGAGACTGAGAGCTCCTCATCCTAGGAAACTGAGGAAGGCACTGGGGCGGTGGCAGATCATCTCCACTTGAGCTGTTCAGCTGTTGTCTGGGGTTGAGGAATAAGGCAAGCTGGACACTGCTAGAACTCGCCCTCCCGAAGAGTGGGCAGTGGTGGAGCAGGTCAGGGATGTAGACACGGGCACAAGCCACACACACTGCCTCCTCTCCTGCTGCCATCCTCTTCAGATTCTGGCTCCTCGAGTGGCCACTTAGCTTGCTTGTGCAGTGAATTGATCCTGGCTCCAGATGATTCCACAGTTTCCTGGAGCAGCTTTTCAAGGTTGTGAAAGATGTGACGGGAGGGAGTAGCATGAGAAATCCAGTGTTTGTGAAGAAGCGCCAGCATGGGTGTGGAACTCCCTATCCATGTTTCTCCCTGAGTATACATCTAATATAAATAGCAGTTTCTCAAGTAATTTCCATATTCTTGGTGCCTTTTAAAATGGAAAACAGAGACAATCCTGACTTGTTCTGCCCTTGGAAATTGACTTGGGACAGTAAGGAGGGTGATCTTTTGTACTGTTATGCAGCATAGTCTGCTGGTGCTTCTAGGCCGGTGAGGATTTCACATATCAGGACATGCTGGCACGCTGTTTCAAAGAAAGGGGGGGCTTCAGTTCTGGTATGCACATATCAGGGCAGCCAACCTTTGGTTGGCATGTTTTGCTTTGTTGGAGACGGGGCTTAGTCATTCTGAGTTTTTTCCCTTATGAAGGTGAGTTTTGTTTGGCAGTACCAGTGTTGAATGAGTGGGCATTTTATCTGTAGGAAGCTGCTGCTTAAGATGACAGTTACATGTCTTGGCGAGTGGTAGAAAATAGGGCTACTCTGGCCCTCTCAAAAAAAATGGACATAATATCAGTAATAGATTTGATCAGAGGTGGTCTGAGTCGTTGCTTAACCTATTAGTTCCTGAATTGATTAGTATGTCTATTTCATTTAACAAAGAAGATGATTATTTCCCCTTAATAAAAACTTCTGGTTTCAAACTATATTTGAATGGCAGTTGGTTATTATTGTGGTGAATTCTGAAAGCATTTGCAGTTGAGATTATTCTGTTTGGGAGTGGGCACCAAAAAAAATCCATTTTTTTTTTTGGTTAGGGTATATTGAACCCCCAAAATATCAGTATTTCCCAATATTCCTGAATCCAAATAACTGTATGGCATTGGGATTTGGGAAATATTCAGGATTGCTGAATTTTTTTGGCTCCATTATGTTCTGTGGGGACCATTATACTCAATGGTCCCCATAGGCTATAATGGAGAATTGACCTGGGGCTCGGGGGGGGGCTGTTTTTTGAGGTAGAGGCACCAAATTTGCAACATAGCTGCTGGTGCCTCTCCTCAAAAAAACTCCCCAAGTTTCAAAAAGATTGGTCCGGGAGGTCCAATTCTGTGGGCCCCAGAAGAAGGTGTTCCCATCCTCCATTCTTTCCAGTGGCAGAGAAAAAAGGCATTTCAAGGGGACTGAGAGCCCTTTAAATGTCCTCTAACTGCGGCTATTCAGCGGCCCCCCACCCCCAATATTTTCGGGATTCTTCAGGGTGGCCATTTTCAAGTAGCTGAACAACTAGCTCCCCAAGTGATTGGCTGAGAAAATACCCGATAAATACCAGTGAGGTATTTATTGGGTATTTTTTCGGCTCAGTTTATACCAAGCGCATAGCCCTAATTTGGCTTCTTTAGGCCTCAATCACCCAACATTTTGGCTTCTTTAGGCCTCAATCACCCAACATTACATCAGAACTCAATAAGCAACATGAAATTGACCTTTAGAGATAGATGGCTCAAACTTGGAGATAACTTGCCATATATTGTCTGGTATTCCTTAACTGCTATGATGACACATTTTCAGTTTTGTTGGGAACTTGTTTTCCTAAAACAATTTCCTGGAAGGAAACTAGTGAGGCTATTCTTACACAGCTTGTTCTAATCTCTCAAAACTAATTTTGGAGTATGCTAATTTCACAATAGTAGCACAAAATGGTTGTCGACTTCCATAGCACAGTTTATATTTGAACTGAATTTATTAATAGCATGATCTAATTCTGTTTAAATTCAGAAATGACATTCTAGACTTGTATTATGCATATTGAAGATATTTGCAGACTAGGTTTTGCAGGGGGGATCACCATTGACTATATTTGGTGAACAAAACTAATTGTAACATTTGAACTGTGTTGTTAAGCAATCATCTGTGGGTTCTGATCAATGTTCCCTGTAAGCTGTAGAGTCCTGTGAGCAAAAATTCTACTTTGTGAGCGACTGGCATTAAAGTGGTGAGCGAGCGATTTGGCTGCTGCATAAATTAGTGTGTTCTGGAGCCATCCTGCCTGAGCTGAGACAAAAATGTATGAGCCGGAGGCTAAAAAACTGTGAGCTAGCTCACACTCACTCAGCTTAGAGGGAACACTGGTTCTGATATATAGTCCTCTGCAAATCAGGATTTTTTTGCAGTTGGGTTTGGTCTTGATGAGTCTCTACAGATTAGAAAAAAATTTAGACCTACAAATTCATTGCTGGACAAAACTGAGATATGTGTTGCCTTGCTGAAACCATGACATCTGTTAGTTTTTGATCAAATATACAGTTTACTAAGTAAAAAGGTGACATTGCATAACCCCCCCCCCCCCCCGTGCATTAATTCAGGGACAGTTGTGACTGCTGGTGTTATAATGCAGGCTGGAACTATTCGATTGTAAAGTGTTTAAACCTGTTCCCCCTAGAATAAGTGCAGAACTGAGTTGTTCAGTAATGATCTTGCACCATTCATTTTCCAAAGAGATACTTAAAAGGCCAAGTGTGAGAACGCTGGGTCAAGAACGAAAAACTGTCTAACTTCCAAGGCTTGCATGGATTCGAAAAGTCTTGAGAATACAGGACAGCAATTTTGGGGGGAGTGGTCTGTGCTGTAAGATGCTACATTGTGCTATGAATAAGTGTGATCTAAAATGTTCGTCCTCACCGCTGGATGAATACATCATTTCTCTGTTAACATACCTGGTATTATAAAGTTCCATATGATAATTTGGATGTTGAGCAATTATGGATGTTTAGCAATACAAGGTTGTACACAAAAATGAACATGAACTAAAAGTATAGGTCGTGTCAGTATTAGCAATAGAAATC